GATTTTCAGTTTGGGATTATGAAAAAAAATTCTGGCCGGGCACAGTGGTGCATGCCTATAATCCCAGCAGCTCAAGAGGCTGAGGCAGGAGGATCACGAGTTCAAAGCCAGCCTCAGTAACAGTGAGGCACTAAGCAACTCAGTGAAATAAAATATAAAATAGGACTGGGGATGTGGCTCAATGGCCAAGTACCCCTGAGTTCAATCCCCAGTACCAAAAAAAGAAAAGAAAAAGTTGGAGATGGATGGTCATAAGGTTGTACTATAAAGTGAATGTACTTTATGCCAGTGAACTGCATATTTAAGAATGGTTAGAATAGAGCTGGGCACAGCTGTACATGCCTGTAATCCCAGAAACTTGGGAAGCTGAGGCAGGAGAATTGCAAGTGCCATGCCAGCCTTGGCAATGCAACTTAGCAAGAACATGTCTCAAAATAAAACATAAAAAAGATCTGAGAATATAGCTCAATAATACTGAGTTCAATCCCCAGTACTGGAGGGGGAAAAAGTTAAAATGATAATTTTGAATGTTATGTATATTTTATAATTTTTTAAAAAAACTGAATTAAAGTTAAAAGAAAATTCTCACCAATAAGATATCACAACAATAAAAATGTAGAAAGAACAAACATTTTGCCAAAGAACACACAGTGATGGCAGATAAGCATATGTGCTTATTATCATTAAGTTATTGAGAAAATTCAAATTAAAGCCACAATGAGATACCACTAACCATCTATGGAATGGCTTTCAAAAACATGACAATATCAATGCCAAAGAGGAAACAGAACAGCTCTTATTCATCGATGGACCCTGGTTCTAGCCTAACTAGTACTTGCACTCTCTGAACTTTATTTTGTTCATTCGTAAGGATCTATGAATAAAATACAACTCTAAAAATGTGGCAATATATAGCAAAAAAAAAAAAAAAAAAAAGAATTCAGTCCTCTTTCAGGACTACAGTTTAAGGGAACATGGATATGCATTACTCATCAAACTCGTGCTATTAGAACCCTTGTTTTCAAAATCAGAAACCAAATAAATTTGATAGCAATAATATTTGTAATCCAAGATACAGAAAGATCTTCAAATACTAGATGACTGTCATATTATCTTAATTATGAAAAAGTAAGAAATAACCTAAATAGTCAGCAATAAAGCAGTATTCTTTATCCAGAGTTGGTCTCCTATAACAAATCACCCCTTCCCTGTTTCAACTCCTTTCATGTCTTCCTATTAGATCTAGAGTCAACCAGCTGAATTCCAATCCTAAAACGCTGGCTGAACCTGGGAAAGTTAACTAATATTTTTAGACCTTAATTTCTCATCAATAAATAAAGTATCACATAGAGATGCTTAAGAATGGCTAATAAATGCAATGCCTATGAATTTCAAAATTTTACTTGAGCATTTTTGGTGCTGAGGATTGAACCCAAAGCCTGTGTATGCTAAGCACGCTGTACCACTGAGCTTCACATCCAGCTGCCCGTCAGTTTTTAAAAATATCACACATAAAAAAAACTTATACATTCAAGTAAGTGTTATCTCTTAATAACTATTACCATTTTTAAAATTTACTAAATGAATACTCTCTGCCAGAGCCTGTACTAGTTCCTTTATTCACTGACTATGCAGAGCTATCTTGTTTAGTTGTAATCACCTGCAGGCACCACATATAAATACAACAATGAATAAAGTAATAAATAATAAAATAATAAAATAATTCACGGCAGCTTTATTTGTAATATCTCTAAATTGGAAATAATCCAACTGTCCTCCAACAGGTGAATGGCTAAAAAAACCTTGATATATCCATACCATGGATTACTACTCAGCAATAAAATATATTATTGTTGCATTCAACAACCTGGATGAATCTTTCAGAGAATTTTTCTGGATGACAAAATTATACAGATGGAGAAGAGACTAGTGATTGTCTGTGGTTAGGAATGAGGGGAAGGGAGAAAACCAGGTACAATTATAAAGAGATAGCATGAATGATCTTTGTGGTGATCAAATAGTTCTAATACTGATCGTGGTTAATAGTCGCATGAATATATGATAAAATTACACAGAACACAGACCTATATTCATAAACATATTTACACATACACAAACAAGTACTTGCAAAACTGAGCAATCATAATAATAAGGTCTATTGTACTCTAATTATATAAGATGTTACTATAAGGGAAAACTGGGTGAGTAGTACAAGAGACCACTCTGTGCTTTATTTTTTCTACTTTCTATAAATCTATAATTACTTCAAAATAAAAGATTTTTATAAAAATATTCAGGCTTCTTTTACACAACTCCCAGCACCAGTATATCATCAAGACACTAAAGTCTCTTTCAGAGTCTAAGAATCATGTTAGAACTCTTCCTTCCAGAGATGGTCTGCAATCCATGTTGTTGTCCTCTTTTTTTTTTTTTAAATATTTTTTAGTTGTAGATGAACACAATACCCTTATTTTATTTATTTATATGTATGCTGAGGATTGAACCCAGTGCCTTACATGTGCTATGCAAGCACTCTACCACTGTGCTACAACCCCAGCCCATGTCCTCTTTTCTTTTTATTTATTTATTTTGGTTGGACACAATACCTTTATTTTATTTATTTATTTTTATGGTGCTGAGGATCAAACCCAGGGCCCCATAAGTGCTAAGCGAGTGCTCTACCACCAAGCTACAATCCCAGACCATCCTCTTTTCTTTTTAAATCAATAGTTACTAAGGGTTTACTGGATGTCTGGCCTTGTATCAGAAGCTAAGTTATATAAGATCAATTATTTATGAAACCTTCTGAAGTGAGCTCTCAATCTAATGATAATAAAAAGAATATAATAGGGCTGGGGTTGTAGCTCTGTGGTAAAGTGCTTAGCATGTGTGAGGCACTGGGTTCAATTCTCAGCACCACATACTAATAAATAAATAAAATAAAGGTCCATCAACAACTGAAAAAGAGGATATGAAAAAAGCATTGGAACATAAGTAAAAAAATTACTGTTTTGAATTTACTTACTAGACATTTGATTTTGTACCAATTCTTCACCTTTTGGCATGCTGATTTCTTAATCTGCAAAACGGAATAGAACATATATAAATATGTTGGGTTTTTTGCCTGTTTGGTTTTTTTTTGATAGAAATGATTGACCCCAGGGGCACTCAACTACTGAGATACATCCCCAGCCCTTTTTTTATATTTTAGAGACAGGGTCTTGCTGAGTTAATTAAGGCCTCACTAAGTTGCTGAGGCTTTGAACTTGAGATCCTCCTGCCTCAGCCTCCCAAGCTGCTGGGATTAGGCACCCACCTATAAATATGTATTTTAAATTTAACCTAGGGCTTCTGGGTAAATTCTAGGGTATAAGTAAATTACTTGAAATTATGTGCAGAAGCACATAACAGTATCTCTGTCCTAGGAAAAGGTATTATGTATATATATATTTTTTATTCTATAAAGGTTTAAGACAACTGAACTGGATTTTTCAATTCAATTTCTAACAGTCTTTCATTCTAACAGTCCATTTTCTAACATATCTCTAAGATCCCTCTTCTATCTCTAATATTCCATGATTCCAATAAGGATGGAAGAAATGGACTAGAGATGTGACATTTCATGATTTGTTCCATGATTCATGATCCCAAATACCATAAAATTTCACTCTTTTCCAATGGGACAGGTTTAAATTTTAAATATGTAACTCTATGACCTTTGACTTACCAACTCCCACCAACCTTTCAACCTCATCTCACCCCTTCTCTAGGTCCTAACCACTCCGTCTAGCTTGTAGTTTGCACAAAATTTTGCTCCCGTTCACTATACCCCTTTGTATACAGTGGTCAGCTCTTCTACTTTATCAAAAAGAAAAAAAAAAAGGTAGAAATCTCCCAAGATTTAATGGCAGCAGCTAAATACCATGAAAGATCCATTGTGATGACTTTCAAGGGTTTGAAATCTAATCCACTGGATTTACTTCTACCCCTGCAAGGGAGACATCCTACAGGAAGGGCAAGTTTGGCATAAGGGCCAATGTGTGTTGATCATTGTTAAATATGCCCATTCATCCTCCACAGAGCTCAAAGGCACAGCAAGGGTCATATGGGGTAGGCGACCCTTTCTGGACCTCGGTTTCTCTTTCTGTGAAATGTAGATACAAAACCTGTTTATGAATCATCTGTCAAATAGAACATAATAACATTTATGGAAGGGCTATCAACGCTACACACTATTACCTGCATCTTTTAAATTCACGCCATATTTCTTATTTCGCAAATAAGAAATGATAAGCAATTACCTAATGAAAACAGCAGCAAACTTTTATATTTATATATATGTGTGTGTGTTTTATATATATATAATTCAATTATATATGTACATATAATACCAATGGATCTTTATTTTTATTTATTTATATGCGGTGCTGAGAACCGAACCCAATGTCTCACACATGCTAGGCAAGCGCTCTACCACTGAGCCCCAGCCCCTACACAGCAAACATTTCTAAAGCTCTATCTTTCCAAGGGCTTTATTTAATTCTCCCAACAATTCTGAGATAGGTACCATCACTGCCAGGGGCCGTCAGGGAAAGAACTCTTGCAAAGGAAATTCCAAGCCAGCCTGACTTGAACACTTCAGCCCAGAGCAGATCAACAACATTATACTGTAAGTCACATTTGTAATTTAAATTTTCCTAGGAGAGCGAGAGTGTATTAGTTTTTCGGCCGAGACACCGGAACTTGAAGTCTACCTCTTCTCTTCTGGACTCCCCCTTCTGCGCCTTTTTCAGCTCGCATTCCAACTCATGCTTCGACACCGATGGAAGTCAGGGGGTGCTACCACCTAGCGAGATTCCCTGCATGCTGAGATTCGACGGCCTCAATACGTTCTCAGTGACCTCCTGACGTGACTGCACAACGCTAGGGGGCGTTGCTTGCGGAAGCCAGGGTTCGGCTTCCGGGTGCTCTCGCGCTGACCTGATCATAGAGAAGCTAGAGGAGACTCCCACTTCCGGTCGCTCCAGCTGCTTCGCCGGTGCAGGTAAGCTCGGCGAGCTTCGGTGGGTCTCGAGTCCGCCTCTAGCAAGGGTGGTGCGGGCTCCGCTCTTAGCGAGAAACATCTCCCTCACCCCAACCTCAGGCAGACGCAGTGCTGAGCCCACAGTTGCCGGACAAAGAGTGACGCCGGGAGCCGAAGTCATGGCGGCGACCGAGCCGAGCTTAGCAGCCACCGGGAGCCCAGCAGCTGCGCCGCCCGAGCTGCAAGAGGGAACCGACCCTGAGCCCAACTCTGCGGGATCCTGGATTTCAGAGTCGTCTCCGCCTGCCCCTGAGCCCGCCAGCGCCAACGCCGCGATCCCTGAAGTGAATCCTGTGGCCCCCGCGGCCCCCGAGCTGCCTCTGGGGCCCGCACCCCCGGGTTCTGCGCCTCAAGCCGAAGCTGCCCCGCACTTTCCTACAGGTCCGAGTGGCTCCCGGCCCGGCCCCGAGACGTTCCGCCAGCGTTTCCGGCAATTCCGCTACCAGGATGCGGCTGGCCCCCGGGAGGCGTTCCGGCAGCTGCGGGAGCTCTCTCGCCAGTGGCTGCGGCCCGACATCCGCACAAAGGAGCAGATGGTGGAGATGCTGGTGCAGGAGCAGCTACTGGCCATTCTACCTGAGGCAGCTCGGGCCCGGCGGCTCCGGCGCCGCGCGGACGTGCGCATCACCGGCTGAACGTCGAGGCTGAGCACTTTCTTAGACTGGGGCCATGTTGGGTAGGGGGTCAGAGCCTGGCACCCCACCCCATGTTAATGAAAAACGAGTTTTGACAGCTCCCGTGGCCTTAATGTGTCTATTTTGTTCGTCCTTCATTGGGTTTATTTCACTGAGTTTATTTCCTACCTCCTTTCTGCTGTTAGAGAAAGGAAGCTGGAAGCCCACGAGAATAAAGCCTTTGCTGTTCCCTGGGCTTTCGTTGCCTATTGTGAGATCCTTAAATGTTGGCTAGACCTGGACCATTCCTCCACCTCATCTGTGAAGTTTTTCTTCTGGACTCCCAAGAACCCTCTTGGGTTTCCTTTGTTTGGTGGAAGGCTGTTTGATGAAGATTTCAGCAGTTCCATTCCTCCTCTGCCTCTTAATGGCTAGAACCTGAGTTTTGTTTCCTACCTGAAAAGATAGATAGGGATACTTCATGGCTGTGGGATTCTGAAGGCAAAATAGCTGAATCTATTAAATGCTCACTTCAGTGGCTACCTCTGTACCTATACAGCTACCAACTTGCTCCACCTGCATTTTGAGCATAAGTTTCCCAAGTTATTTGGCTATTTTCATGTCAAATGTTTTATTTACTGCTTGCCCTTACGGAGAGACTAGGTCTGTTTTGTGAGCCAGGGTTTRTGCCATTGGACTTGCTTATTAAAACTGCTTGACTTCCTTGTCAAAATTTAGGCCCCTAATCCCAGCAACTCAGGAGAGGTTGAGGCAGGAAGATGGCAAGTTCAAAGCCAACCTCAGGAACTTAATGAGATCTTGTATAAAAATAAGCATTTGTATATTCTTGGGATTTCTTGGCAGAGTCTGGGTTTGCCTCCTGCAAAACATAGATGTGTTTAAAAGATAAAAGCAGGCTTTATTTAAAAGGTAATGGTTACAAGTAGGATACGGCCTGTAATCCTAGTAACTTGGGAGCCTGGGGAGGAAGGATCACAAATTCAGGGCCAGACTTGGCAACTTAGACCCTCAGCAAGGTAGAGAATCTGTCTCAAAAAAGCTGGGGATGTAGCTCAGTGGTAAAGCACCCTTGGGTTCAATCCCCAGTACTGCAAAGAAAAAAGTTACAGATGATTAGATAATACATATTAAAAAGTAAGAAAAAGAACTTTGTAATTCAGTAATATGTGACTGAAACAGCAACAAGAACCTGTTTTATTTTTTTCCAAATACAGATACAGAAGTTTGCATGTCTTTGCAAATATTGCTTCAAAGCAACATTTCTATATACAGCGCCTTCTGTTCTACTAGCGCGTAAACATAGATATGTATCCACAGTGCAATGTTGGCTCATTGAGAATCCACCTTGTATAAACTCATCAATTAAGCAAAATGATTAGTCAAACCAGAACTGTTTTTGTCAAGGCAGTTTTTTATAGGTGGATAGCTTTTCTCAATAGACAAAATTTAGGTAGTGCACATATTTCTAAATGGTAATCAGCAATGTTTGCAAATAACAGTTTCCAGTGCTCCAACTTGGGGTTAATTCACCTTGACCCAGGAATTGGGAATGGAGCCCCTCAACATGGCTTTAAATTAGGGAAGCACACTGAGGTTATCAGAACTTTGGGGAGTCTTCCCTGCTTCCCTAAGAACAAAAGTCACAATGAGTGAAACGGGATTATTTTATAAAACCTAAATGATAAGTCCAGTAATGGCCACTTGACAAAATTAGGATAATTCAGTTTCAACTTCCATCTTTGAACAAGACATTAAATTGACTCTTAAAAATTACAGCTTCCCCAATTGTGATACTCAAATGTAGTTTCAGAAAAATCAGTAATAATACAACAATCGATATAGCCCCAGTTATGGCTATAGAAAATCATCCTGTTTCTTCCCTTTTCAGATAAACATTACACAAATCTTAAAATGCAGCTGTCTGATAAATAATCCAGAACACAGATGCCACACAACACTGAGCCATTTCTTCCCACACCAGAAACACCAATGCAGTGTGAAACAGCCTCTTATAGAGGAATTGTGTCAGCTTCCTTACAGATGTTACAGCCACATGGATCAGTTACACAGGTCAACTTGTCCTATATTTTATATCAAATGATGGATAAATCGATAGACAGGGCATTCCTTGAAACATCTTAGGTCCAGAGGCCTGAATTTACGAAGACAATGACCTGTGTCTTAAAGCCCAACCATTCCAACAATTGCTGGAGATACTGTCATTGCTATTGAGATATTGGCTTATACGTTTACATAGTAAATATTTGCAGCATATAACATTACAGATTCATAAACCCATAATTGTGTTAATGGACAGCTGTGCTTTGACTTTTATCTTTAGTGATAAGAAAATCAGTAAATCAGGTCATTCCTCAAAGCAAGGAATGTTTTAACTTTGCCCAATAAAAACAAAACAAAATACAGCAATTACATGTGGAACTGTAACCTGCAAAAGTAACACAAATATTGTTTCAAAAGGTACAAATAGATGAAACTTGGACCTTAAGCAGCATAATCACCTTGATCTCACAGAGTAATATAAACAGGAAATTTAAAGTGTTAAAGTATATTAACAATTCTGAAAATGCCAACTATTGAACATACCTTTCAGGGAAGGAGAAAAGTGGCACATAGAGAATCGGAAGTTTGTTGACCACAATACAAAATAAAGTAATTCCCCAAACCATATTCTTTGTAACAAGTCTTTACAGTGGAAGAGTTTGACATTTTGGGAAACTTTTTTTTAAACCTTAAATAGAACTAGGAAGCTGTCTTAATATTAAGAAGTGGATAGAAAATGCTGTCCTTTGGGTTCTAGACCCTGCCTGCTTCAGTTTGGAATTCCTCCTAGATTCTTTTACATCAAGATTCTAGTTCCTTCAGCTGTATGGCCTCTATGAAAAGCCAAAACCCAGCCAACTCTGGGGTGAAACACATAAAACTTGTCCCTGGTACCATAAAGTCATGCAAGAGATGTGGTGAGAAAAGTGAAGAGTCCTAAGGAGAAAGCAGGGCAGTTGAGGCCTCTGCTCCTTCCCAACTTCCGCAGCGTAGTCAAGTCCCAACATTCCCATGAAGCTGGAAAATGAAAATGATACCTGCTGCCTAAACATGCCAGGCAGAAATCAAAARGTTTGGCATGTGCCCCAACCTGTCAGAAAAGTCAATTAAATAAACTGTAAATTGAATCTACAACTGTTTCCAACAAACTTTTTTGGCTCTCATTCCATTTATCATCAGTGGCACGATTTCAAGTGAAGTTTGTGCAAAAAGACTCTCTTCATTCAATGATGTGCACAGAAGGGAATCCCAAGAGTCTATTTGCTACCTTCTTGGTAGGCTTCCAGATCAGAGTGCCCTGCCCTCCAGCAGCCAAAATGGCCTCTTTGTCCAATGTCTTCACACTCCTGGCCAGATCCCTGAAGTTAGTCGGTGTCACGTGCATTCAGCATGCTAGATTTATTTATTTAAATATGCGAAGCTCCTTCTGCAGGTGCCCCGGATTGTGTCCCCATTAGTCTTGGTTGCCCAATTTCATGTTGAGCAGCAGAGGGCGATCTGCTGCACCTTGCCCAGGTCTGTCAGCAGTTGCTTGATGCAATGCTTGAGCTGTGGAAGCCTGGCCAGTGGCTCTGGGGGCTCCAATTCCCCAGTGTAGTCTAGCCAGCTCTCCAGCACTGTTGGCAGAAGAGAGAGACGAAACCCAGTGAGCCCCCAACACTTGATTTTCAAGAACCTCAGCAAGAGTTTCAGCTCCTTATCTCAGGAGGACAGGGAAGAGGGCCATTTCAGCCAATGTTGCTTCAACACCTGCCCCACAAAGCATTACTCCTGGGACAGAGCTCAAGTGCTTTACAGCAGCATAGTCCAAAAGAACTCTTTGACAATGAAAGTGATCTGTTTCTACTATCCCAAACAGTAGCCACTAGCTATTGTTTTGTTGCTACTAAGCACTTGAAACAAGGCCGGTACAACTGAAAAGCTGAATTTTAAATTTTATTCAATTTTAACTAAATGGCCACACATTGCTACTGGCTATTGTGTTAGTGCAGACTATAGAAGGCTTTAAAGGACTCACTTTTCCTAGTGTCACTGCCCACTCTTCCTAAAGTTTTCCAGTGTTGTAAATATCCTGGTATTTTAGCCTCCTGTCAAGAAAGGTGAAAATCTGCCAGGCATGGTGGCACATACCTATAATCTCAGCTACTTCAGAAGCTGAGGCACAAGGATCACATGTTCAAAGCCAGCCTGTGCTCTGAGCAAAAAAATAAGAAGGGCTGGGGATGTGGCTCCTAAGTGCCCCTGGGTTTAATCCCCAGTACCAAAAAAATTTACAGGGATTTGAAAAGGTCAGTTTTTATCACCATCAATTCTAATTTGCTTTGTATTAATTCTTTTTTTAATTATTTTTAGTTGTTAATGGATCTTTATTTTATTTATTTGTATGTGGTGCTGAGAATCAAACCCAGTACCTCATGCATGCTAGGCAAACACTTTACCACTGAGCCACAACCCAGCCCTCATATTTATTCTTGATTGACACATAGTTATTGGTTGCATAAAATACTCTTGTTTTCTGTCTTTAAGTATTTAATATAAGATATCTAGGTTCTAATATACTTAATAATTGGTTCAACATCTAAAAAGCTATTTTTCTTACGAGACAAGGATTTTTCTATAGAAAGATGTTTGCCTTCCCCTTAACAAAACTCTGGCTTTGGTGGAGAGACCTTTAGGAATTCTACATCTTTGTCAAGAGCCACTTAAACCTTCCACTTACACTCTGTGCTTACCCCATCTTGCCTGTAGCCTTTCTAGTCCATGCACCAATCTACACTGAGCACCTTCTGGATTCTGGAGGGCAGAAAGAAGACCCTCCCGATGCCTGTTCCTCAAGCAACCTGTCACTTGTCACACAATCCCCTCCCTTCCTCAAATATGAGCCCTAACTTACCTCTTCATTCTCCTAAATTCTCTGTTCCCTGCAAGTTATTCCTTAGGGATGCTTTCCCCAACTCTCCTTCCGGAATCTGGTCCCTGTATTACAGGTGCTATCACACATTCTTCCTTGAGCACTTACTATGGTATGTAATTACATGT